AAATTCACCACCGTTAAATTATTTATCCATCGATAAGTAATTCCAACACTTTCACAATTACGCCCAATGTCCCAAATTATCTTAATAGCCTGAAGCATATGGATACCTTCCATGTAAATTCAATTTCCCTAAAAAACAAATTTCCACTGGCCGTAATTTTCCTTGAAAAATTAGACCTGAGCCAATGAAATGAGCATACGGCTCCGAGACAATAATGCAAGACTCTAGCGGTGGAGATTTTTGAGTTAGAAAATCAGCGGTGGGGGTGCATTAAGAAAGAGTGGCGGCGGATGCTGCTTCGTCAGGAAACAGATATGAACGTTTCATTATTACTAGACCGGGTGAACGAATGGTAGCCATGAAGATGCGTCGGCTATGAATCCGTCAATTTTGGTAGAGAAGATATACAAGTCGATTTTAGTAGAGAAGAGAGACAGAGCGAATGATTCGAGAGAAAGAAAAGAAAAGAGAAATAGAAAGAGATGTATCAGGGAAGAGAGAAGGGGGGCGGGAGAGAAAGTGAATGAGAGAAAATAGGAAAAAAAAAAACGAAAAAAAATTAAAAAGAGGTGGAGTAGAGAGAGAGAGAAAGGGACAGTTGAGAAGAGAGAGGGGGAAGAGAGAGAAAGAGTGGGAGAAGAAATGACAAAATTGGAATAATAAACACGTGAGGGGGGTCTCACAATTCCTAACGTTAATTTTAGATTTATTTACAAATAGTTAATATTAAAATGGGCCTCGACTATTTTTATGATCAGCGTGTCTGACTTGAGCGTCTGAGGGGTTTCCGCCGGATCAACCCCTGGCCTAGTTCACGTGTTCTATGATCGCAGGTATCTCAAGGTCATCAAGCTCGTGAGCCAGTGATCCACTCTGCTCTTCCAACTCATCCTACTTCAACACTCTAAGGTGATCTAACTTTAGCAACATCATTTTGGCGCCGTCTGTGGGAAGGCAAACACAATCACGGAGCGCACATGATGGCCTTGAGACATCTGCTCAGGGGAGTGTGACACTGCTAACAACCTCCCACCTCGTGGAGGCTCTGGCTTGTCACATCCTCCTCCCCATGCTCAGGATCCACTACGAGGCCTTCCTCGGATGTCCCACTAAATCCTCAACAAGATTCACTTTTTCCCGCCCCTCGATCGGTTCAGACAACCGATGAGGCCCTTCAACGCTAGTAAGGGTTATCGACTCCCTGGGGCTTACCTCTGCCCCCAAAATATTTCGTTCGCCAAGGGTTATCGACTCCCTGGGGGTATACACTGCCCCAAAATATTTCTTTCGCCAAGAGTTATCGACTCCCTGGGGGCTTACATCTGCCCCCAAAATATTTCGTTCGCCAAGGATTATCAACTCCCTGGGGGTTTATAGTGCCCCCAAAATATTTCGTTCGCCAAGGGTTATCGACTCCCTGGGGGTTAACAGTGCCCCCAAAACATTTCGTTCGCCATGGGTCATCGACTCTCTGGGGGCCTACTTCCGCCCCCCCTCAAACGCTTCAGATAATCGAAGAGGACTTTCAGCGTATGATCGCCGAACCTTCCACAAGATCAACTTTAACTTGCTCCTCTAACGGTTCAGATAACCGATAAGGACCTTCAGCGTACGACCGCGAAAGTTTCAACTCGTGTTGGCACTGAAACAATGGCACAACCGTGCGCATCCACCTCAGACCATAGGTCTCGAGCGCCTCATCCTAAAGTGGGGGGCTATCCCATCCCAAGGTTGGCATCACCCTTACTTTTCAACCCCATGTGGGTGCACATCCCATCTCAAGAAACGAGTATAATCTCCCCACTCAAAAAATAGAACATCCCCAAAGCAGTGAACATCAACCGCCAAAAAAACAAAAAAAAAAAGAAGAAGAAAATAGAAGAAGATGAGAATAAAAAAAATAAAAAAAAAAATAAAAAGAAGATGAGAAGAAAGAAAAAGAAGAAAGAAGAAGAAAAAAGAAGAAGAAGAAGAAGAAGAAGATGAGAAGAAAGAAAAAGAAGATAGAAGAAGAAAAAAAAAAAAAACACAAAGTAAGCCAAGCCAAGCCATCATCCAAGCCGCGCGCGCAAGCCACGCAACCTTCTCCTGGAGGCGCGCGCGCGTTAGCCAAAAAAAAAAAAAAAAAAAAGGAAGAGGCGCCCGTGAACAGCACGCGCGCCAGCAGAGAAAAAAAAAAAAAAAAAGGTAAAAGGCGCACGTGCACAGCACGCGCGCGTCAGCAGGAAAAAAAAATAGAGAAGCGCGTGCTCACGCACCTGGGGGCAGCACCTGCGCGCGCCTCCCAAGGCCACCTTGGAGCGCGCGCTCCCATCTAATTGAGCACAACTTTTACTACTCTCCACCAAATTGCGCGTAGATTTCACCTCGCTTCACCAAATCGCGCGAGAATTTCAACGCGCTCCACCAAATTGCGCGAGCTCTCCAGCGCGCCTCACCATATTGGGCACGCTCTCCAACGGATAAATAAAAATTATTATTGCTCCACACCACGCCAGCAATTAACGGTACACCACAACACCGATCTACTCTCGACACGATCCGGTACCCTTTTCGACTATGCTCCCACATCGAACCGAGAGTGGGGGGCTTGCGAAACAACCCGCTGCGAGACAACTCCCATGAGGAGCCAACTCGCTCGGTACTACAACACGCAGCGAGACAACTCCCATGAGGAGTCAACTCGCTCGGTACCACAACCCGCAGCGAGGCAACTCCCACGAGGAGCCAACTCGCTCGGTACCACAACCCGCAGCGAGACAACTCCCACGAGGAGCCAACTCGCTCGGTACCACAACCCGCAGCGAGGCAACTCCCACGAGGAGCCAACTCGCTCGGCACTACAAATCCGTTGCAAGGCAACTCCCACGTGCAGCCACCTCGCTCGATAATAAGACTCGCCGCGAAACAACTCCCACGAGGAGACAACTCGCTCAGAGCGACCTCAATACGCACGCTCCTCAGTCGCGCGTCATCCAATGCTTCTACAACTTCGTTGCGAGACAACTCCCATGAGGAGACAACTCGCCCGAAATTAACTATATAATCGCAAGCTCAAGATAGCATGATTACAACCCTAGAAACACTTAGAAATATTATGGGAATCTATATAGCCTGGCCAGCTTGATTACTCAAACTTATCTACTTGTTTTCGATGGGTCCTTCATTAAAACGTGACCACGGTCCAAACATACTTACGACCCACGAGGTCTAACAAGGGGCACGATCCCCATATAAATATCTTGAGAGCCTGATCCCCTCCTCAAGTACATCACGCAGAAGGCTATATGTAAACACATACAAGCAACGCGTCAAAACATTGACAATGTCGATAAATAACAACTCCCACGAGGAGAATACTAGCCCCGTGCTACAACATCATCAAGAGACAACTCCCGCGAGGAGATAACTCGATCAACTCTATTACCCCACGATGAGACAACTCCCACGAGGAGATAACTTGATCTGCGCTACCACATCGTCGTGGGACAACACCGACGACTCAAGTCACTTACACGCGACAACTTGGTCGCGCTACGCGCCAACGCGCCTTCACGCCCCTCCGACACACGCTCCAACGCGTTTTCGCACACCATCGACTACTACAATTTTTACTCTCGACACGATATGTCACCCATTTCAACATGGCCCCCACATCGACTCGAGAGTACGGGGCTTAATGATATGCCTAATTGGGCCAACCCAATGGGCCTACAATTTCCTTACATACTGGGCCACGAGCCCAATATCGAAGACCATTATCACCGAAGCCCAATCACCTTCAAGTAAGGTTTGGGCCCGACAATCTCAACTAAGCTATAAATAAATGTTTGAACTCATTCCTTAAGGTACGTCCAATTAACTGAGCAATACTATTAATTGTATTCTCTAGACTATTTCTGTGATCAGTACGTCTGACTTGAGCGTCGAGGGGTTTCCGCCGGATCAACCCCCGGCCTAGTTCACTTGTTCTATGATCGCAGGTATCTCAAGGTCATCAAGCTCGTGAGCCAGTGATCCACTCTGCTCTTCCAGCTCATCCTACTTCAACACTCTAAGGTGATCTAACTTTAGCATCATCAATGTTTGGAATCCGTTTCGGAATAATTGACACGAGAATAGAAGCCATCAAATTATTCGACAGGCAGCCGCAAATGTTGCCACGCCAACTACATATTCAACATTTTGATTGTAAGAAACCTGAGTTTAATTTTAATTTTTTTTTTTTTTTTTTTTGTTAATCAACTCGAACAAATCTCTTCTAAATGAGAGTATCAGATTTTCTTAGAAGAGGCCGGTTTACAAATGAGATTATTGGTGTTCGATAAAATTTCTATGAAGTTGAAAATCTTAGAGGAAACTAGTTAGAAGCTCTTCGTCTGCTTCAGGTGTCAGTCATGGTTTGCGACTCGTTGCGTAAAGTTAGGATAGCTAAATAGTCACATACGGAAATAACGATGCTACACCTGGTTAATATAACCAGGCACCCTAATTGATAAGATTCCCACTACGGGTTCAGTTATAGCCCATGAGGTTTTAGAAATATAATTATTAAATAAATTAAAAATGACACATGTCAACAAGAGAGCTGCCCGGTGAAAATCACCGGGTGTAGCATCGTATTCCCCGTCACAGACTAACACTTATGTTTATGTATTTGGAAGTTACTGAATTATTCATATTCCATAGACTCGAAATAACTCAATATTAAATCCATAGCAATGTGCAAACTGGTAATGATAAAAGAAAACCAATTGAAAACAACAGAGATCTACCAACACATCATGAGCTGTAAAAGATCATATAGATCGATATCAAAACTGACTAAGGTAATAAATAAATAGACGCATATATCGAAAAACAAGACAACCTATCTAAATGATTAGTCTATAACTCTATCTATCCGACCATCGTCTGAGGGGAAGGCCAGCCTAGCTAGTTGACTCATACATAAAATTTGCTCAATGCGGGATTTTACGAAACTGAAGGACTCAAAAAAATCACAAAGTTTGTCTCCATTTCAATGCAAAGCGAATAAAATGATATCCCCTTTCTTGATCGTTTGGCAATTCCGACAAACTAATTGGATGCCATTCTTCTTGATTGATGCCACGAATCTCCATTCTCGCTTCCTCCAAATCTCGAAATGAGAATTGATCTTCCTTACCAGTTTCCCTCTGCATTAGAATCTTCCACAAAAACTCGATCCGCACCCTATCCCATTTGCTGTAGAGGTAGTGATCGATGTTTCTTGGACGACAAATACAAAACACACCATTTAAAAGATATGAAAGAGAAGATAAATTACAACACAAACTCAAACTCTCCACCACAACAGGTTTATCACAACCATTGATTATTTCTTGAATTATGTGTCCACCACCACCACCACCACCACCACCACCACCACCACCACCACCACCACCACCATTCATGGAATATTCATTAAGATTCAGAGAAAATTCACAATCGGTTAATGAGTCGAGCAGTACTTTTAGCTTAAGGAACCACGCAGAAGTAACATGTGAAAGCTCAAAGTTGAGTAATATGTCCGATTCCCACTCACCGGAAGTTGGTGCAAAAGAGATGGACGCCACAAAGTCTTGCGCAAATTGAAAGTATAGTATGTTTGGGGCATCAATAAATAAATGGGAATCTCTGAGTCCAGGCCAACCGAAAATTTTCAAGTATTCGAGGCTAGGGAATTTACACGAAGACAAGTGGTCCAATGACAAAGTCACATGGCATAGAGATAATTCTTTTAGATTACGGAAATCCACTCCTTTGTGGAACCAAAGATTACAATTCGTAATATCAATGGTTTCAAGAGATGGGGAGGGATGGATTTCGATGCGACAAAGTTCCTCCTCTCCGCGGGTTATATAAGACATTTTAAAGAACAAGTACTTGAGATTGTGAAGATCATCCACTTTAATTGTTCTTAACCATATACATTCTTCGACAGCCAAAGTTTCAATCGAAGGAAAATTTGCAATTATCTTGTCAAAAATCTCATCCTCGATGCAGACTTTATCGAGACGAAGTGATTTTAGGTGCTTGAAGAGTAACATCCTTTCAATAGCCTTTCGGTCGAAATAGAAACTTTCCAGGTGCAAATCTTGGAGGGATACCGCTCCAAAGATTACAGGCGGCAGTTTAACAGATCTGTGTCCGGAACGAACGGAGAGACGAAACTTCTTCATACCCATAACTGTGAGTAACGGGATCCATTTTTCAAGCAGCGAAACGGATTCATGATCGAGATCGTTGAACATATCGCCTAGCGATATACGAAGGTGGAATTCCTCCACGCACAGCCTTTGGTCGCGGTAACGTTGTAAAGTATCGTTAACAACGAATATAAATTTTTGCTTGTTTTTTTTGAAGGCGACGTCCGAAAAGTCAAGATCAACGTTGAGACGAGTGCACCAAGTATAACGCCACGATTTCGACAAGAGGGATGTTCGAATAGCCTCTTTTTGGGAGAGGAAGTATAGTATTCTCTGCAAGATGTCTTTTGGCAACTCGGATATTTTGTCCATGGAGATAACCAAGATTTTTCACTTTTAAATCTTTTAACGCCGAATAAAGTATCCTTAATTAGGAATTTTCCGACGGAATAAAACTTCAAATAGTTATATGGGTGGAATCTTTCAACCCTAATAAATTTCTCTCACGGCTTGCAAAATAGAGGAGCCCTCCAATAGTCGCTTTTATTCCCCGACCAATAAATTCTGCACTAGGAAGAACTATATATTGATTTTTTTTTTTTAATTCCAAAAGAGAACTATATTGGTTTTATTTTCTTGCACACGTATTTCCCCTTTTTCGGATTCTTGTACCACTTTTTTTTTTTTTTTTTTTTTTTTTTTTTTGTTTTGTTTTTTTTTTTTACATCCACCGCTAAACGTTGACCGTAATTGTGCTGTCACTGACAGTAAATTAACGTAATTATACTGTCAATGATAGTTAATTAACGTAATTGTACTGTCGTTTACAATACATTTATGTAATTGTTCTGCCGTTACAGTAAATTAACGTAATATTATTATTATTTTTTTTCAAGTCAACGTAATTATATTACAGTCGTTGACAGTAAAATAACTTTAAACACAATAATATTACTGTCAACAACATCAATATTATTATTTTTTTGGGTTTTTTGTTTTGTTTGAGTTATTTTCGGAGTAACGTAATAATATTACTATCTATTATTGTAATATTACTGTAAACACAATAATATTACTGTGGTTGATGGTAATATTACTGTTGTTATAGTAATATTGCTGTCAACCACATCAATATTATTATTTTGTTTGGATTTTTTGTTTGTTTGAGTTATTCACGGAGTAACGTAATAATATTACTGTCTATTATTGAAATATTATTGTGGTTGACGGTAATATTACTGTTGTTATAGTAATATTACTGTCACTCACAGTAATATTAATTCTTTTAAAATTTTATTATGTTTACATTTGTTAAACGGTCAACATATTAATATTACTCTATTACACAATAATAATGAGTTTTGTTGTGTTAATATTGCTGTGCTAGAGATTAATATAACAATATTACTGTGTTAAACTGTAGTTTAGTTAATTTTACTGTGTTTAATAGTAATATAGTTAATATTAATGTCAATCACAACAATATTTGCTGTTTAAACGAAAACAAATGTTACAGAAAAAAAATCGAAAAAGTCAACGCCGGAAACCGTTGAAAAAATACGGAAGAAAAAAAAATTGAAAAGTCAACGCCGGAATCCGGCGGCAAAAACTAATATTTTTGACAAAAAAAAGTTTTGGGTCAAAATTGAATAATTTGTGAAATTTGGGGTCAAACTGAGGTTAAATTAAGTTAAGGATGAAATTGAAGCATATTAAAGTACGAGGGGCTATTTTAGTCTTTTAAAAAAATCTGGACCATGTGTGGACTTATTGGTAAAAGACTTTTTTGTCTGGATCTCTTATGAATAAGTACCCATTGATGAGCTTATTTGTAAAGACCCCTAGTAATTATTAGGGAATTATGAATGGTGTTTGATTGGAATGAATTGATTTCTTTCTAAACAATACAACTATTCTTAGAGTGACTCTGTCAAAACAAAATATTCATTCACAAAAGAATTCTTAAATAACTATAAGTATGACAAAAAATGGGCTTAATTCTACTTTGTACCCTTGATTTTGGCACTTTGCACCATCGAAAAATAATAATAGTACTTTGCACCCTCAAAACACAATAAATCGTTCACAATGCACCCTGAATGTAATAATAAAGGCAATTTCAATTTTCGTTGGTGTTTTTTTTTTTTGGGGTGCAAAATAAAAAAAAAATTGTTATTTTCTTGAACCTCCAAACTAATTTCGAGCGGGCAAAGTGCGAAAAAATAAAAATTACACTGAATTATTTAAAAAGCCTATATTTTCTTACAAAAAAAATAATAAATAAGTTTTTATCACTAAATTATTCGATTGATGGATCTTTTATGTAACTGCTTGAAAATATTAGGTGAAAAAATATTTGGAAGAAAATACGATTTTCAGATAACTTGATAACGTAATAACTGAATGATTTTTTTTTTCGTAAAATATTTGATTTTGATAAAAAAAATTAAATATGTTGATGAAATGTATTTTTATTTTTGAACTTTATAGTTTCAAAATGATTGATGAATAAAAAAAATTATTTGACATTTGACATCCTAAAAAAATATCACTAAAAAATTGTACGTATTACATTTTTTAGCTTAAAAAAATCATTTGGGGTGCATTATGCATGATTTATTGTATTTCAAGGGTGCAAAGTGCTATTAGTTTGTTTTGAATGTGCAAAGTGCCAAAATGGTATATTTCAAGGGTGCAAGGTGGAAGCCCAAAATCTGATCAGTCTTGCATAAAATATAATAAGACGTTTAAGAATTTCTTCTTAAAAACTTTTCTGTCGAAATATGTTCCAAAGTTTCTAGTCCGCCATGGACTTTGAATTTGTGCAAATATCGAAGCAACTGACTGTTGTATCTTGGAAAACTAGGGAGTGACTGTTGCACCGTAGACAACCCGGAAATATTGTCTTAAGGACATTGCTCTTGCAAGCCTCAGTCGATTTGTCGCTCTTCGTATTTCCGGTTAGTTTCTACTTTCAAGTAAGCGTAGTTTTTAAATAGGGGTTATTAGGGAAAACCACCTCATATGCATTGTATCGTTACACTAGATCCTTTTTTTTCCCCATTTTTGAGATAAATCCAATTGTATTTTATTAAGTAATTATATTATTAACAACCTATTTTACTCTTTCCCAATTTCTTTAGCCTAGCCATAACTCTCTATCCCGTAACTGTCTCATTCATTCATCACCTCCGAATCAACCTCGCTCATTTCCAGCGAAGGCATCTCGTTCATCTCCGAGAGAGTGGCGGCGAGATTCCGGGTCGAAACGGGTCGGGTCGATTTCCCACTCTGGGAAAACTTGGGCATGTCGACGGCGCCCCTCAAGGCGGCGGTTCTCCACGCAGGGGCTTGTGTGCTGGATCTGGATCTTCCGGGTCTGATCCCTAACCCCTAACCCGACCCGATTCTTGCCCGCTTGTTCAGCCTGTAGTTGTAGACTCTCGACGATGAAGATGACGTGGACGAACTCTCCCTTTTTCCGGATCTTGGTCGGCACTATTACGCCGTCGATTATTACTCCTCTGTGCCCTTGCCTCAGCATTATTATAATAATATTATAAATATACAGATTTGGAAGAAGAGGTACCTTTTTTTTTTGGTTCAGGTTTTTGAGCAACCGAAGTGATGCCGAATTTGTTTGTATACATTTGTTAATAATGGTTTTGGATGAACATATACTGGTTTACGTTATTTTTAATGTGGATTATGCTTATTTTATAGTAAATTTTACTTCAATTCTATAGTGGTTTTCGATAAATTTATGCTTATTTTATAGGGGCTATATGACAAACACCACTTACTCAATTTTTATTTAATGATAAATCCATTTATTAAATGATATTTGTTATAAACCCAATTGACATTAATTATCCAAAATACCCCCATTTATTATTAAGAAAAATTAATTAATTTTTTTAAATATGCTAATCCTCTTAATATCTCTCATATTACGCCATTTCAAATTCTATTTTTTCTTTTCTTTTCTAATCTTTTTCATGGTTTTCTTTTATTTTGTATTTTTTTTATTTTTGGTTTTTTTATTTTAAATTATTTTTTTCTTATTATATTTCATGTTTTTCATTTTGAATTTTAAAAAACAAGTTTTATTTTTATTTTCATTTTTTAATAGGTTTTTTTCTTAAATTCGGTTTTTTTTAAATGATTCTTTTTTTCCACTTTTCTTGAATAAAAAATGTTTTGTTTAATTATTTTTTTATTACTTTTTTTAATTCGATTAATTTTTATTATTTTAATATTTAAAAAAACATCCAGCAGATTTATCAAAGTGGAATCCACTATAAACTTCGAAATCTGCTATAAATTTGTTGTAAGCCACTATAAACTTATCGAAACTCAATATGAAATAGACGAAATCCACAATATTTTTTTTGAAAACAACTATATCTTTATTAAAGACAAAGCCTGATATTATGAAAACCACTCTATGAAAACATCTATATAAACATGAAAACCATTCTGCATAAAACAACTATATAAACACGAAAACCACTATGTATACACAATTATATAAACATCGAAAACCACTATGAATTCTAACAAGAAAACATCAAACTTCTGCGAAAAAGAAGCTACAAACCCACTATAAAAGACACCATCTTCTCTCCAATGAACCCTAGAGCATAGTCCGTGTAATCATCTTCTTCTCGTTATTTGAATTGTAAACCACTATTAGACACGTAAACCACTACTATGTCCAAAAAAAAAGTGCAAGACCAATTACGAAAAATTAACGTAATCCACTTTAATAATAACATAATCAACAACAAAGTTATCGAAATCCACTAAAAACATACGTAAATCCACTACTAACACAATAAAAAAAAACATAAATTCACTATTCAAAACTCCACTATTTAAAACGTAAGTCACTACTATATCTAGGAAAAAGTGCAAGATCAGTACACCACCACCAACAAGGCCGACAAGGGTCACTTTATCAATCTGATCAAGAAAAAAATAATTTATAGGAATTAATAGTCTTTTTCTCAATATCGTTATCAAATACGAACCTTCCCCACAAACCCTAAAACCATTGAAAGATGATTGAAGCGACTAAAAAAAAATAACTACCTTTTTCTACCACCGCATAGATATCATTCGGCGACGGTGAAGAGAGAGAAAATAGGTGTGGGGGCTGGCGCGGCGCCAGATTGGGGCTGAGGCGGCGCCGGGCGGGGGCTGGGGCGTCGCTGGGTGGGGGTTGGGGCAGCGCCGGTGGGGGGAGAAGAAGATGTGAACGGAAGGAGATCTGCAACGGTGAATAGAAAAGAGAAAAAAAAAAGAAAATAAAATCTAGAGAGAAAAAAAAAAGAGATACACGTTATGTTCAAGGGCGAGATTTGTGGAGC